TTCCTCACATTATTTGTCTTTTCATTTGCCTTAACATCAGGATATAGGAGTTTGAAAGGCAGAGTTTATCAGTTTATCAGTTGTCAGTTATCACTTATCAGTTTATCAATTTATCGGTTATCAGTTATCAGTTTATCAGTTATCAGTTATTAGTTTATCAGTTATCAGCTTATCAGTTATCAGTCTATCAGTTAGTTATCAGTTTATCAGTTATCAGTTTATCAATTATCAGTAAGTTTATCAGTTATCAGGTTATCAGTTTATTGGTTATCAGTTTATCAGTTATCAGTTAGTTTATCAGTTATCAGGTTATCAGTTTATCAGTTATCAGGCTTTATCAGTTGATCTGGCAGAGGATGGTTCTAGTGAAGGGAAACCCTTCCCTGCGGAGGCTGGACTGTGCTGCAATGCTTTGCTCAGCAAGGCTGAGCTCACCAGGGCAGCCTGCGTGGCACAGGGGCATCGGGGGTCACACCTGGGTCTGCTCTGAGGGCTTCATTTGCCTTTGCCATGGCCAGATATGATCCTGGGCCAGCAGGAGCAGGCTGCAGAGCTGGAGGAGCGCACGAGGGCCCGAGTGCGAGAGGTGCTCCTGAAGAAGCATCACCACCAGAACGAGCGGAAACGAAACAATCTCCTCCCCATCGTCCGCTCCTTCGCCGACGGGAGCAAGAAGCAGTTGGAGCTGCACCTCCTCGACAAGCCAGGTCGGGCTTCCCGCAGGCTCTGGCACCTGGAGAGGGTTTCTGCAATGCTTGGGCCCCGTTAGGCTCGTCCTGGCAGAGGAACAATGTCCCAGCTGCTCCTTGCTCGTCCTTCTGAGCCTCTTCCTTTTTCCTACAGCTCAAACGCTCAGCCCTCATCCTTCTCCCACCACTGCAGAAGCGAAGAACGGAGTGACCCACGAGACCAGCACAATGGACTTAAGCAAGGTGAGGTGCTTGTCGCTTTCCCGTGCCTTCAGGGCCAGATTTGCTGCTTCGGGCTCTGCCGCGGGGGCTGTGGGCTTGGTTCTGGGGGCAGTTCCCTCTGAAACACTTGTCGTGCCCAGGCGGAGCTGCACTTCCTGAAGAAGATTCCCACTGGGGCTGAAGCATCCAACGTGCTGGTGGGAGAGCTGGACTTCCTGCCCCAGCCCATCGTGGCATTTGTCCGCCTCACCCCGGCTGTCCTCCTCTCGGGCATGACAGAAGTTCCCATCCCAACAAGGTCAGAATGGGAAGCACAAAGGGTTTATTATAACACCCCCCCCAACACCATTGGATTGCACGCATCAGCTTGGTGTCCCAAGGGAAGAAGGCCACATTTCTCCCACTCACATCTCCTCACCTTCATTTCTTCCTTCCCGGCTGTATCCTTTAAAGCCAATTTCCCAATGGAAGTTACCCCCAAAGCTCCATTTGTAATCGGGTTTGATGAACTCCCAACTCATCGCCGAGTCGATGCCTACGTGTCCCCTGTGGAGCTGGGAGCTCCTGGGGATTTCCTCGGGCACTCCTTGAGCAAGGACACGTTCTGATCTCTCACTTGGTTTTTCTTGCCCAGGTTCCTGTTTGTTTTGCTTGGACCAGGAGGAAAAGCCCATCGGTACCATGAGATCGGCAGGTCCATGGCTACTATCATGACAGATGAGGTGTGCCAAGATAAGAGACATCTCTGGGTCTTTGTTGGCTTTCTTCTCCTCTCCCTGTCCCCATGGGAAGGAGGAGGATTTGCTGTCCCAGCTGCCTGCAGCAATAACCTACCCTTTGTTCACACCCATGGATTCACCTCACCCCCCATCCTGGAGGTGGAAATCCCGCATCCTGCACCTCATCCTTCTCCTCAGGGTCCCCAGCACGCTCTCCCCAGTGCTGGCACTGCCAGTAAAGCTTCTCCTCTTGCAGCCAAAGGCTGTGATGTGCCGTGGAGGAGATGATTCCATGAGGGATGGGCCGGTTTTCCTTTGGAGGAATGTTTCCTGCCGTTACCAGCAGGACATTCGGGGGGGAAATGATCTTGCATTTAGCCAAGGGCTTCCTGCGCTGGTTTGGGCACCTGAGATGCCCAAACCTGAGGGTTGTCTCCTGTTGTCAGGTTTTCCATGATGTTGCCTATAAAGCCAAGGACCGGGCTGACCTTGTGGCCGGCATCGATGAGTTCCTCGACCAGGTCACGGTGCTGCCGCCGGGAGAGTGGGACCCATCGATCCGAATCGAGCCCCCGAAAAGTGTCCCCTCGCAGGTGGGTGCTGGGGGCAGGGACCCAGTTGACACAGGCACACACCCAGACCAGGAGCAAAACAAGCTCCTCACAAATAGCTGTCTTTATCCAACTCCCATTCCCACAGGAGAAAAGGAAGATGCCAGGAGCGCTTGAGGACAGTACTTCTCACAGTAAGCCGGAGAAACACAGTGGTCCTGAGCTGGAGCGGACGGGAAGGTGCGAGCTTTGACAGTTTGGGGTGGTTTTGCTGTTCACCTCTCCAATCTGAGCATGCATCTTCCCTTCTGGGGTTAGTTGGTTCAGTGCAGGGCTTGGTCCCTTGGGATGGGCAGATGTGGGCTGGTGGATGCAGCCACAGCATCATTGCCCAGAGCTCCCCTTGACTGGACGTGGAGGCAGATGTGTCAGTACCTCCAGGTAGAGCTCTGCTGCTTCTCAGAGCAAGGGTCTGTTGCCATAAGAGGGGATGAGCTCTCAGGTTTGGTCCTTCTCTTTTTGCTGGAGGTGTTTCTGTGTGTCTCGGTTCCTGCTGGGTATAGAAAGGGATGAAGGGGGGTGCTTTTAGCAAGGGCAGTTACTCTATGCCTGTGGTTGCCCTTCTGCAGCCGGAAAAACTCATTGTGTTCTTCCAAGAGCACAGTCCCTTCTTCTTTTCCCTTGGTCCAGACTCTTTGGAGGTTTGATCCTGGATGTGAAGCGGAAAGCGCCGTGGTTCTGGAGCGACTTTCGGGATGGTGTGAGCCTGCAGTGCCTGGCATCCTTCCTCTTCCTCTACTGTGCCTGCATGTCCCCCGTCATCACCTTCGGGGGACTGCTGGGGGAAGCGACCAAAGGCCACATAGTGAGCACCTCTCTCTGTTGGTGGCCCAGGGGAGGACAACACTCAAGCACAAGAATTCACTTTGTGATGGGCTTTGTTTGGGGGTTTTCCTGTTCCATACATATGACGTATTGACTCCCTGCTGCCTCTCTTCCCGGCACAGAGTGCCATGGAGTCCCTGCTGGGTGCATCCATGACTGGTGTGGTGTATTCCCTCTTCGCTGGCCAACCTCTCACCATCCTCGGCAGCACCGGACCTGTCCTTGTGTTTGAGAAGATCCTCTACAAGTTCTGCAGGTGAGGCTGGGTGCTGTGGGAGCTTCAGAGGGTGGCAGTGATGAGGAAAAGGTGGTTTTCTGCTCTTCTTCTTAGTGGTAGTTGTTCGGTCTGGGTTGTTTTCTGTGCCACAATGTCCGTGGCATTGCCCACTGCTGCTCTAGTGCATGAGAGTGCAGGAGTCCTCAGTCTCTGAAGGATTGGATGGGGTGCTTTGGGGTTCTTAGAGTTGAAGGGAAGCAGAGGAGAAATCCACGGATGTGGATGCCCAAGCTGCTGGGGTCTTCTGAGTTTTGATGGTTCTGATGAAAAAGCAGGAGCCTTTTGTGTGAAATGGCTGTTTTCTGTGACAGCCCTTTGGCTGTGATGACTCTGATGGGAGATGATCCACCCTTCTTGCCTCTTAAGCCCCAGCTTGCTGGCAGCAGGTGACTGGGTGCCAAACCAGCCACTTTTGGTGTTAGGGCATCAGGTGGGAGAACACCACCTTCCACAACAGGGTCCTGACCTCCCTTAGCCTCTGGGACATTAACACAAGATAACTGTTAAATAATGGCCATCAATGAATTGGTTGAAGTGCTCCCACCTCTTCCCGAAGGAAAGCACAGCTCGGAGCCTCGTGCTGGCCTTTCCACCCTTGGCTTCCCTTTGGTTCTGGCCTTTCCACCCTTGGCTTTCCTTTGGTTCTGGCCTTTCCACCCTTGGCTTCCCTTTGTTCCCCAGGGAGCACGCGCTCTCGTACCTGTCCCTGCGGGCGTGCATTGGCTTATGGACTGCCTTCTTCTGCGTCGTGCTGGTGGCCACCGACGCCAGCTCTCTGGTGTGCTACATCACCCGCTTCACCGAGGAAGCCTTCGCCTCCCTCATCTGCATCATCTTCATCTACGAGGCTCTCGAGAAGCTGAGCCACCTGCGCGAGACCTACCCTGTGCACATGCACAGCAAGCTTGACCTCCTCACCATCTACTAGTGGGTTGTTTTCCTCCCAGACGGCCACTGCCCCCTGGCAGGAGCTCAGGGCTGCTCCTCCATCGCCTTTCCCTTACCCCTGTGTTGGCTTCTCTCCTCCCAGCTGTAAGTGTGAGTCTCCAACCCGCCCCAGCAACGAAACGCTGCACTTCTGGGAGAGCAACAGGATCAACGTGTCTGGTATTGCCTGGGAGAACCTGACGGTGACTGTAAGTGCCTTGAGCTGCCTCGTGCTGCAGCCACAGGGTCCAGGAGCATCATCCGCTTGGTGCCCAAGTCAGAGCCCTTTGGGTGATGATGGGCTTCAGCCTGTGCTGGTGCTGCTCTGCTTCAATGGAATGTGTGGATTTAACCCCCTTGGTCCTGGAAGGAGAATCCCCTTGTTCAGCCCACCTTGTCCCCAGCACTGTGGGGAGTGATTCTCCTCCTCAACCTGGTTGCAGGACAATGTTTCTGACCAGGAGCAAGGTTTAGTGGGTGGTTTCAGCGCTGCAGCAGCCAGAGGGCTTGAGTTCATGCTTAAGGTGGTAACTGGCTTCCTCAGTTGATTCCTAGGAACTCCAGGCCTTGCTTCCCCCTTCAGTGCTCTCTGCGAGGCACATGCAGAACCCGGAGTGTCTGAGCCACCTCTCGGGCTGTTGCTGCCTGAAGCAGAGCCCAGGCACATGGTGGGAGGCTCTTATGGACATCTCCATCCCCTCCTGGCGAGCTTCTGCCGGCCCCGCACTGGGAAGGGACATTTTGTCTCTTCTCCATTGATACCATGGTTGTCTTGGCCTGCCTTGTTCCCTCTCTCTTTATCCCCGAGTGTCCAGGTTTCCTTCCCCTCTTTGTCTTCCTCAGCCCCAGTTACCCACCATTCAAGCAGAGGATGTGCCATGGGTCTTGTGGTATCATGTCCCATCAGAGCCCATCTCTGCTCTCCTCTGTTCAATGTGTCACTTCTTTGGCTGCTGCTGCTCCTTAAATCTAAACCTCCAGCAGCAGCAGCCACAAGGTCACGGATCTTGGACCAAGATCCTCAACACTCCCAGTTCTCCAAGTTTTCCTTGCTGCCCGTGCCCTGCCTTTGTGTCCTGATGCTCTGTTTCCCCAGGACTGCCGCTATATGCATGGAGAGTTCCGACGCAACGGCCCCTATGCACCTAATGTCCTCTTCTGGTGCTGCATCCTCTTCTTCTCCACCTTTGTCCTGTCGAGCTTGTTGAAGAAGTTTAAAACCAGCCGTTACTTCCCAACCAGAGTAGGTAGAAGATGGTGACCAGCAGCAGCCTCCACTTTGCACAGTGGCTTTCCCGGAGCACTGAGCACTGTTTGTCACCACTTGGAGGTCCCTCACTCATCCCCATGAGTGCAAAACAACCACAGCATTTCCCACCTCCCTCGTGACCTGCCCCTGAGCTGGTTCTTTGTGTCTTTGTGCTGATGGTTGGGTTTTTCCCTTGGGAAATCGGGTCTTCCCTATTTCCCACCCTCTGTGCTCAAGGTGAAAGTTGATTCAAATGTGGAGCTGCCATAGAAGAGAACAATGGTTCTTCCTTTTGAGGTCCAAACGATGCCTCAGTGCCTTACTCCCATGTTAGCTGTGAGCGTGGCTGTAGTGGCGGGCACCAGTCTCATTAGCTTTCAATAGTGCTTTTAAGGGTTGAATTGTCTCAACCCTTTTCCACCTCATTCAACCTGACACCAGATCTCAAAGGGACAATCCCAGCACCAGCATCTGTCCAAGGGATTTGCCTGCATTGCTCAGAGTGGTGGGATTTTGTTAACCAGGATCAATGTTGATGATGCCCCCAAGTCCACCTCCTTCCACCTCCTGTGGTGGCCCTGCTTGCGAGGCCCTTCTCAGCTCTGGTTTCTTGCCCCAGGTACGCTCCACAGTAAGTGACTTTGCTGTCTTCCTCGCCATCGTCATCATGGTGCTCATTGACTTCATGGTTGGGATCCCATCACCGAAGCTCCACGTCCCTCATATGTTCAAGGTACTGGGGGGGGTTTGGGCCTGGAGCAGGTTCCAGCCCCTGGGGATGCCACCACCAGGTGATGCCGGGGCAGGAGATGGTGCTGGTGTGTGACCAGCTCCTCTGCCAGCTCCAAGTGCAATGTTTCCTTCTGGAAGCAAGAAGACAGCCCCTAAACTGGATTCCTCCAAGAGAAGGGTCTATAGGTGCTGGCTGAACCCCATGGAGAGGCTGACATGAAGCCAGGGCTGGGAAGTGCTCTGACATGGGCTTGGAGGGTAACGTCAAAGCCAGTGAAGGTGCTGGGCTGGGAGAGGATGCTGATGTGTGTGCTCTGTTGCAGCCCACCAGAGATGACCGCGGGTGGCTCATCAACCCCATAGGACCCAACCCTTGGTGGACGGTGTTGGCTGCACTCATCCCAGCTCTGCTCTGCACCATCCTGATATTCATGGACCAGCAGATCACTGCCGTTATTGTGAACAGGAAGGAGCACAGGCTGAAGGTCAGGGGCTGCATGGGATGGCCCTAACCCTCTGTGGGCTGCGTGGCTGGGGAGAAGCTCCTGTTCCAAGGGCTTTGGGGCAACGGCAGCCTGTGGGGCAGGAGGCTCTCCTGCATTCATGGTGACGCAGGAGGATGAGTGATCTCATCCACAGAGCCACATATTACTTGCAAGTGGTGGAACTTTACTCGTGGATGAAAAAGAAGAGTCCATTTCTTGCGTTTGTTGGGGTTTTTCTGGAAAGTAGATATCACACAAACTCTCCAAAGCCACTTTGTCTGAGCACCTGCCTGATGCTTGTGTGGACACTGGAGACATCCTTGTTTCCAGCTCTAGATTTAGATTGTCAAGTTGACTTAGAATGGGTTGGGTTGGAAAAGACCTTAAGATCTTCCAGCTCCAACCCCTGCCCCGGGCAGGGACACCTTCCACTAGAGCAGGTTGCTCCAAGCCCCTGTGTCCAACCTGGCCTTGAACACTGCCAGGGATGGGGCAGCCACAGCTTCTCTGGGCACCCTGTGCCAGCACCTCAGCACCCTCACAGGGAAGAGCTTCTGCCTTATCTCCAACCTGAACTTCCCCTGTTTCAGTTTGAACCCATCTCCCCTTGTCCTATCACTCCAGTCCCTGATGAAGGTCCCTCTGCAGCATCCTTGTAGCCCCCTTCAGATACTGGAAGCTGCTCTGAGGACTTGAGCTCAAGTTGAGTTCGAGCCCAACTCGCTCATGTGCTCTGGGATGCTCTGTGTGTTGTTTGCTCCCTGCAGAAAGGATGTGGGTACCACCTGGACCTTCTCATGGTGGCCGTGATGCTGGGGGTGTGCTCCGTGATGGGGCTGCCCTGGTTTGTGGCTGCCACCGTCCTGTCTATCACCCACGTGAACAGCCTCAAAGTGGAGTCTGACTGCTCAGCTCCAGGAGAACAACCCAAGTTTCTGGGGATACGAGAGCAGAGAGTCACTGGCTTGATGATCTTTGTGCTCATGGGCTGCTCTGTCTTCTTCACGTCTGCCTTGAAGGTAAGAGGATAATGCAGAACACCCCACGACCACGAGCTTCTTGGAGGTTGTACAAACATAGTCCCCTCTCTCCGGGCCTGTGGAGTGCAGGAGGAAGAGGTGGTGATCCCAAACCTTGGGGCTTGACCCATGGTGGGCACCAGCCTCCACTGTGCCCTTCAGACCCCACTTTGTCATGCTCGAGCACAGCTTGAACCTGTAGGTTCACCCATGTTTCTCGGTTACAACTAAGTCTTGAAGCCATTGGAAACTGGGGAGCTGGAGGTGGGTTTAGGCAGCACCTGTAGAAGAGAGTGGCCACCCTGACCATGGGCTTTAATCCAATCCATCGTTGTGTTCTTGTTTGCAGTTCATACCAATGCCTGTGCTTTATGGTGTCTTTCTCTACATGGGGGTGTCGTCTCTCAGAGGAATTCAGGTAGGGCCTCGTTGCAGCACGTCTGCCCCCAGGAGCTCAGCTCCATGGAAAACCTGAGGGCAGGCAAGAAATGGGGGTGTTCTGAGGAGGGGAAAGGCTGGTGGAGGTGGAGGAGGAGGTCCATGGGGCGGGGAGGAACGGGCAGGTTGAGCGTGCTCTGCTCCATGGTTTAGGGCAGTGTTTTGGGCACGTGGAAATGGGGGATTCATAGAACCACAGAACCAACCCGGTTGGAAAAGAGATTCAAGATCATCCAGTCCAACCCTTATCCCAGCATTCCCAAGGCCACCACTACCCCCTGGCACTGAGGCCTCGGCTACCCGGGGTGTGCA